GATCTGGAAAATAATCAGGATCTTTCAAAATTTATTATTTTAAAGAATAAAACTAATTTTTCAACAAGTGACTTGAGGCAGTGTAGTTCGACAATTAAATCAATTATTTTTAATCAAATAAACTTGGGACAAAATATAAAAGAAAATTTATTCACACCTTATCAGAAATTGAAAAAAATTCAGACAGACAGAACTATCTGTTATCCAATTTGTGTACCTATTTCTTTGAGAAAGAGAAGGGACATGGATAAATTTATAATATAAATCAGTCTGTAAATAAAATTAGTTTAGTAACCATAGCTTTTGTATGCACGCATTGCTTGAAAGAGTCGAAGCAAAAAAATTAAAAAACACATTTTGAAAACGTGTGTAAAACCGAATGAACCTTCAAAAGTAGAAGCTTTCATAATTGATGGTAAGTTTTTTTTATATATTTTTAATGGGTTTCACTTATTGAATATTATGTACCGTTAAGCAAACTTTTTTTTTTGAAGAACGTTTTTGCCAAAACTGCAATAAACATGTTGACGAACACTCCTGGAATGCACATTTGAAGACAAACCTTCATAAAAATAATAGCACCATTACATATGGTAATGGCATTGATATTGTTAGAAGGGCATTCAAATCTCGTATAGCTTCATATAAAATATCTGTAACACATAGCGATTTCGTTATGGGAAACGTAAAATACCGACCGCCTGTTTTAAAATCTTCACTTTCTTCAACAGTGGCGTGCCTGACGGGCCCGCAGGGCCCCGGGATATTTGGGGCTCCTTAATTAGACAAGGCATTCTGCTCACACCAAATATTTTTCCACTTAGGTATGTCATTTCGAGTGTCAGTTAAAGAAGTTTTTATATCTGTTTTTTTTTACCAGAGTAGTACTTATTTCTTATTTCATGTTATTATCTTTAATAATTTTTTTACTACTTTTGTTCACTTTGTACCGAAACTGTTCGGGGCCACCAAGGAAAATCTTGCGGGAGGGCCTCCAAGAAACTCGGCACACCCCTGTTCTTCAAAGTTGGTGTTGGAACAACCATATACTGCGCAAAAAGGATTATTGAGTACCTAGCACAGGTATTTTATATCGGAGTTAAACTCAAATTAATATATGTGAAGTAAAAAAGGGATTCAGAACACAGAATAACATGAAACTCCATGGAATTAGGTGCGAACATCTGGGAGAATTGTCACGCAACTCGCGTCTACGTCAGCGGCGTGAGAGAAACAGACAACCACATGCACATGAGATTATCTAGAATATAGTGTGCGTGCACTGAGTCACTGAGTAAACGTATTTAAATTTCATATACCTTATACCTTAAAAAGTTTTAGTTTGGGAGAGCACAAATATACAAGACCAGAGGGTAATTTCCCGGTAAAAACACGGCACACTAACCAGTCTGATTCGATAGTTTTATCGTTGTCAACCGATTATTATTGTTGGAACCATCACTATTATATCTTGAAATTGCCGTATCAGTTTCAGGGAATATGCCCTTTTGAACCGCTAATCAATAAAGGACTAAACATATGCTCTCATGCTCCAAAGATAGACAAAATAGTGTCCAACTTTGAATGGCAACAATTTTTAAACATAATTTTTCTGGTTAATTGAAATAAATGAACTTTGGCCTGAGTAAATTGTTTTTGAATGTATCTTCATCTTGCATCGGCGCAGTTTACTTTTCTGAGGCACTGGTTTCCTTCTGAGTTAGCCCGGATAACTTCTTCATCTCGTAGACTGGCGGATATTGGCTTTCAGAAAACATCAACTTATACCATCCCAGGCTTTAGTCGAGGGTCACCAAGGCTTACCCTACAGAGAGGGTATTGGAATAAGTTAGTTTTATTGAAACCAGAGCAAACTATGCTTTTTCAAATGTACCAAAATATTTCTGATTAAATGCAGTGAATGGACTTCGGCCCGTATCAAATTATTTTTGTACAGTAGTAGATAGGACAAAGCCGTTTCTGGAACAAATTGGTAGTGGGGGTAACGATGGGCGGCGCTGTAACGGTAACAGCAAGTATTGCTAGATGGCGCTGCAGGTAGCGTACCGATGGCCCGCGCTGTGATGGTAAAAGCTTGTATTGCTAGATGGCGCTGCAGGTACCAAGCACTTGGGGCCCTCGCCCCTGGTCGTCGGGCGACGGTGGCGGCGGATTGTGGGGGCGCGGATTGGGGCCCGGAGCTGGGGGCGCAGATCCCCGGTTTTCCGTGAGGGCTTGTCTTGAATTATTTTCATTTTTTAATGACAAAAAGGAATAAGGCTTTCATATTTTGGAATAATTAATTTTATTATTTTTAGCAACAAAGCTTATTCAAGCAACTTATTTCGAATAGATTACAATTATTTTTAATGGAACAGTAGATTAACATCAATAACACTAAAACTATTACTACTATGATTAAGGGTAATACAACAGGATAAAATACTTTCGATGAGGCATCATTTTCATTACATTGAGATTGGTTTTGTTGTTTCTGGTGTAAAATTATTGTTTTCCAATCACCTGTGTCTCCATATGTCCGATTTTCGAAGAAAAAACTTAGTTTATATGTAATTGTGTCCGGCAATGAATTATTGGTAGTGGTGAGGTTATATACAAACATTTTCTGATTATAAGGGAGGGTTTTATCCAGCACCATCCGATGCCACGTGATTGGCCACATATCATTTTTTGTACCATCGTCTATGCAAATGAAGCCTTCTTTTACCCCAGCAGGTATGCTGAAGTAGATTGATTGTTGAAATATAGCATAAAGAATAATGAAACTACTTGACAAGAGTGCCATTGTGAAATGAACGATTATGTTGCATGTTAACATAATATATATATATTATTATAATTTATCTACATCCAAGACAGGATCGTTTTGGAGGAGGTGGTCCATCAATTTGATTGCAGTAGTGTAGATAACATGGTAAATTTAGTTGCAAGCTTTCATCATTTTGATATCTCCTAGGTAATAATGTCCAAACTTGTTCCAACTCGATTGAGGTGACGTAGTGAATAAGATAGCACAATGGCATAAATTTCAATTCATCAGATGAAAAATTATGTAATGATCTAAGATTTCGTTGGTATAAACATATTACATTTCCAACATTCTCAACCGTTTCTTCAATGATTCCTTTAAAATCACTCATATTTAACTTTATTTCAGCTACTTACAAAAATCAGGTATATTTTCTTTGCGGCTAACATAAAAGATTGATTGTTTATTGGCGGCGTATTTAACGAACTTCTCTGTATTATTGTTTTTCAATGCCTTTTCTTGGTTATTTTTTCTACAGTTATTACAGTTATATGCTGCCACACTTTGTTTAAAGTCGTTTTGTTTAATCAAACATGCATCTCCACATTTATCACAAATGAATTTATAGTACTGAGCAAAAATTAAACTCATTTCAACGTCTACTTGCAACGTAGATCGAATTCAGACTGCAGATCACCATGAAAATTCGAATATTTAATAAACGAATTTTAAAAATAAGGATTCAATTTTTGATACACCTTATTATTTAAAAATACACGTAAATTATTATTAGCACTTAAAAAGGAAATTGTCAACCAATTTTGGTTGCTTAGATAAGCATATTTTTCCAATCGAAATAAAATGAATCTATATTTGAAATTGTAATTTGAGGTAATTCTTTTTAATGCGAGTAAAATTCGAATAAAATTCCTATTTATAATTACTTATACATACATGCACCCATTTCAGCCACAATATACATTTTTCGGTAATAACTAACAAAACCCATAAAATTATGATGAGATAAGAAATCCAATAAAATGAGGAATTTCCAACCATTCCGTATAATCAGTCCACAAAGAATTAGCAGCAGTAAATAACCTATTAGTAACACCAGTAAAACAATGATCAATACAATCATCCAAAACCAAATGATATTCGTTGCCAAACTAGCCTGTGATCTAAATCAGATGGAGTTTGATATTTTACGATTTTGCAAGCGGAGTTTAATGGGCGTCAATAACTCAAAACACCTGGAAAATGCAAAGAACTTTTCGAATGGAGCTTTTGTCTGCAGAAAGTTTCTATCAGGAAGCATCGATTCAGACACATTTGTCAAAGAGATGCTTGCTGAGGATCTGTATGATTTTGTAGTTAAAGTGCGCAATATCACCATTGAAAGAATCGAAAATATGAAACAAGACTATGAAGACAGCATCACTGGCGAAGAGGCAACTTCTTATTCATCAGGGTTTTAACGTGATTTTTTCACTTTTCATATATTGCGAGTAGCTTTGTTTTGTTTTTTACAATTATAATAATTTGATTTGGTACCTACACCTAATTTTTATGATTAGTCTGTGTCGAGGTTTGTGTAGTATTTATGTCTGTCGTAATGGGTTCTAATTTTTTTATGTAATTTATGTTTTTTTTTTTCATATGTTTCTATGCATTGCTTGTTTTTATAATATGACTGACGTTTTATTTTAGTGTTTTTTTTTTTAAATATTAATGGTGATTGTTCTTACCTACCGCTAAAACAACCAAAAATTTACTGTCAACTATAACATAGTAATATCAATATTAGATACCCAATACTTTTTACTATGATATTTTATTTGATGTACAGTTGCGATAAAAAAAGTAGTACAAGAAAAATCTCCAAAATCTCCTGGTCTATTATACATTAATTTAATTCATAACCATAACGACATATTTCTGGTATTTTTCGACAAGTTTTTAACCTAGAAAGCTTCAGATGACATTATTTTGCCATTTTTCCACCCGTTTTTAACCTAGAAAATGTCATTGCCTGTCAAAATTTTGTTGTTACACCGGGAGCTCAAATTGGGGATAATAATTTTTGTACTACTTTTTTTTTATCGCAACTGTACTTACCTACCTTGTTTTTAATGTCTAGGTTTCTAACTATACCAAGTCTTTTTTTTTATAATAGATTTATTTGCCCATGCATTTATTTAGGACTTAGAATCAAGATTGTATAGCTTTGTCAATAAGTTATTGTGACTTGGACTTCAATTGGCTTAAGTACATTTTGTTGCAACTAGAAAAAGTATAGAAACTTTGGTTTGCTTATCTGCACAATTTCGCCAACTTTGTATTTTCAACTTTTTTGGAGTAATTTTTGACAAGTTGAATATAGACAATTTCGTCTGTGGATTAACTTGAACTGGTCTCATTCCAATGATATCGATCAAATTATGTTTATTGAACAAGGGATTCGTGGAGGTATTTCTGTATGCGTCAACCGTTATTCTGAAGCCAACAACAAATTCATGCATAATTATGACTCTTCGAAACCATCAAAATATCTTCTTTATTTAGATGTAAATAATCTCTATGGAAAAGCTATGACTGATTTTCTTCCTTATGGGGGGTTTGAGTGGGTTAATGATGTTGATATTCGAAATTTTGATGTAGATAAAGTTCCAGATGATTCACCTCAAGGCTATATATCACAAGTAGATTTGGAATATCCAAGGAAATTTCATGATCTTCATAAAGATTTTCCATTTTGCGCAAAATCGAGAATACCTCCTGATTCAAAATTACCGAAATTAATGCAAACTTTTTACAATAAAAAAAAATATATTTTGCATTATCGAAATTTGAAGCAAGCTTTAGAAAACGGGTTAGTGTTAACGAAAAAATTCATAAAATTTTGAAATTCAATCAATCAGCCTGGTTAAAACCTTACATTGAGCCAAATAATCAACTAAGAACTATGGCGACATCACAATTTCATAAAAACCAATTTAAGCTTAATAATAATGCTGTTTTCGGAAAAACTATGGAAAACATAAGAAAGAACGAGTTCTTAAATTCGTTTCCTCGTGTGGAGGTCGTTATGGAGCAAAAAATCTTATATCTAGTCATAAGTTTCACAGCAAAACAGTTTTTGATGAAAATCTAATGGCAATTGAATTGAAAAAAACTGAATTAACATTCAATAAGCCTCTATACATAGGTATAGCAATTCTCGATATTTCAAAAATAAATATGTACAATTTTCATTACAATTATATGCTCACAAAAATGGGAAAAGAAAATTGTAAACTTATGTACACAGACACTATATAAATCAAATCGCTTTAAAAGATGAGTCCAGATATTTGATGTGTTTAGAATTTATTCATTTGTATAAAACCATTCCAATGACACTGAGAAATGCTATACTGGCTACTAGCGGGTGGGAGATGCATGTTTTTGATGACGATGTTGATCACTACTGTGTATGGGTAAACTACTATAATGTCAAACATTTTAACTTGGTGATGGTAAATCGTGTTTTGATACAATCAAATCTGCTCAAAAAAAATTTAAAGGAAAATTACTTATCAATAATGATCATAAACATGAGGTAATTAATACTGATAGCATAATAGAAGACTTGTATCAAAATAAGTTCTACTGGTGTCAAAGTTGTTTCTCACAAGTACTTTTTGAGTTAAAGGATGAATTCAGCTGTAATTTAACTCTGCATCCAAATAGTGTTACACATTCTAAAATAGTTCGTTTCAGAGGTCAATATGATAGTGATACTGATATAGACCATTTTGATTTTAATTGGTAATCATTTTCACTTTTTTTTTTAAACCTAAACCTATCATAAATTAAATTTTAGCTTCTATTCTTCCACAAATACAATGTTGTGGTTTCATATAGTTCTTAGATACTTTCTTGAAATGTAAATGCACTTATACACTTGTTGTTAATTCTGTTATTTTAGCTTCTACTCTCTTTGTTTATCTTTAAATCTATATTTGTTAGTTATTTTCCTAGTTTTATATTATTTGATAGTATGATTTTTAAGTTTTATTATATAGGTCGCTCTTCATTTCAGCTAAAGTTTTAAACCTGAACCCTATTTAAATGTAGTTTTAGGATTTTAAGTTACCTACCTAATATGTATTCCCCTCTCTTCATGTTTATTTAAAAAAAAATAAAAAAACTGATTAAACTTTTCATATATGTGTTTTATTTAAAAAATATAATTTAACTTATTACCTATATATTTCATTATTATGAAATAAAAAAATATATGTGTCTCCAGTGTGATTTGAGTCCACAACCTTCAAACTAAAAAGTTGGATGTGGTGCTAATTGCGCCATGGAGGCATATTTATTTTTCATACACAATTTAAAAAAAAAAAAATGTCTCCAGTGTGATTTGAACACACAACCTTCTGATTTGAAGTCAGACGCGCTACCAGTTGCGCCATGGAGACATATTTATTTTTCATGCACAATGAAAATTACTCATACAATGTAATAATTTTTGATAGTAACGACTTTAATTGAACAAGAAGTCCTTTATTAGGACAAGATATATCAAATAAACTCCATTCAAATTTTCCTGCAGCAACAACAGATCTTGTGAATTCATTGAATTTATAATAAGTATTTTGATTGAAAAAGTATAAATGTCCATCCATGTAGCGGAAAGCTGATGAAATATTTGAAGGTACTCCTGGGAAAAAATCTATCACACGTCCTCTATCCAATATTGTTTGGTTCTTTTCATCAACTTCAATAATAATCGCATCATCATACCAGATATAGGTTGTACCAGTATAAGATTGAAATATTGAATTTATTTTACTATTAACTGGTACATTAATCTTAAGCTCTTCAGTAATCACTAAATTGGGGAAAGAAGCTTCATAAAAATATTTATTTCGATTTATAATTAAATTTCCTCTAGAATTTTGGAAGATATATGATACACCTGTCAGAAGTTCGTTTGGATAATAATTCCGTACTTCATCAGGTTGAGGTATATTTTTAGACCTCAAATCAACTTTCCATAACAAATTTTGATAAATCACATACAGTCTGTAGCTCGAAAATTGTGGAGCATAACCTAAAAACATTATATCTGGCATCGGAATGTCACATAAACTTTTAACTTGATTTCCATCACTAGATTCATCGGAAGGTTTGGGTTTTATTGATTTAGAACTGGTAGTAGTAGTTTCTCTGTTCAGAGTAGTGATAGGTGTAGTTGATTTCTGAGGTGGAACAGTTCGCTCTCCATAAAGCGCTTTTAAACCGTTTATATCATCATCACCTAATCCATCAAAATACGATTGGTACCACGGATACATCACTGCATAGTTATTGTCAGTATGACTCAATCCCAAGGCATGCCCAATTTCATGTAATAAAACTGGGAGAAAAGAAATGCTATCATCTCCCGGACGGCTTGTTCTGTTCAAACTGAAATCCCAAGATTCACTTAAATCAAAATGAATTTCCACACATCCATCACCACTAGGAAAATATGCGTGAGCTAGTTCTACACCCTTACCATCAAAATTATTTGAACATTTTTCTCCACCACGACAATTTGCACGAAAATCATGCTCTCTATGAACAAATGTTAGAGTAATATCCGGAACTTTTGTTGAAGGTACTAAAACAACCTCAAATTTTAAATTGGATGCATTTTCCCATATTTCAAAAGCTTTTTTAGCCACTTGAAGATGTTCTCGAGCTGCTTGAGGAAAATACCAAGTTAAGTTAGTTTTATTCCATTTTGACTTAATGACATAAGAATTCTCTCCCACTGTACATCGAGGCCTATTCAATAATTCTACAGTTTTTTCGTTCAATGATCCGGAAACAGGTAAGTTATATCGTTCTTGGAATGTAATGAGGGATGTCTGAAAATCTGATAAAGAATCCTCTTCAACATAACCAAACTTTTTTAGATATTTCTACACATCAGCTTCATTTATCGCGACTATCAAAGGTAGCAATATAGAAAATACAAGCAGTTTCATAGCGAATTATTCGTTAGCTAGTTAGCAGACAGTCTGTAATAAACTGAACATAAATGTTTAATTGTGTTAATTATATAAAAAATTTCAAAAAAAAAAAAAAATGTAAATCAGAATAATCCTTTATTCATAATCTATATCATTAATTACATTTTCTTCATAATAATGTAAATATACACTAAGAGCTAAAACTAACTGAACATTCCCATTACATGCCACATATAAAGATTGAACAAGCTTTAAATATGAACCTATTTTAGTGTTATCCTTGGTTTTGAAATGCAAGTTAATTTTATGTATCACATTATGATAAAATAAACAAAAAATTAATTCTTCTAACATTAACACTCTGTATTGAACAAGATTAGAATGAATATCAATCAATTTTAATACGTCATCCTCACTCATGTAAAAATTGACATCATGTTTTTCAACCTTTAGCTGCTTTAAGTTGTTTCTGATCATTCGGGTTATTTTAACGTATTCAACACATGGCACCGCTTTTTCGTCAACAGGTACAGCAGGATTATTGAAAAAATCTTCATCTTCCTTTTGAAGTAAATTTATAAACATAGCCCATTCGAAAGCGTCGAATGATATTTTTCCTGGGTTGGATATTTCAATTGCAGATAATCTGATGGCTGGACTGAATGTTCTGGCGGGACTTAGACCGCACTCAACAAAAAAACAGTCTCCATTCATATACGATGACGAGAGAAGATAACACTTTTCAATCTTAGCCGCATTTTCAAACTGCTTCAAATTTTCATCAAGAACTTGACTGTAATATGGTTGTGAGGATACTCGGGTTGATGATGATGACTCACCATTACCACTATCAACTTTGATATCTTCCATTTTTAAGATGCGCGTTGTTAATGCTATTTACTAAATGACACTGAGCATATTTTTAGTATTGTTTGCAAATAATAGGTTTCTTTGATACACAAAATTTTTAAGGCTTGCGCATAATAGGTTTACACCCAGTTTATAAGCAATATCATTCTTATCAAACCAGCTGTTGAATGACTTATTGAACCCCAACCATTTAACGTACATTTTATTTCCTTTCTCACGTAAAACCTGTTCTACCAGAAATACATTCGGTTGTTTTGTTTTCTGTAATTCTTTTTCATAAAAACCTCCTAGAACAGGCTGGCCTTGTGAGTCCTCCAGCAAATAGGTTGGTGGATTTGTAATATGCACTTTAACTACTTTAAAGAGTTCTGTAGTCCAGTTTGGAGTATATCCTTTTTGAAAAACATGTTTGTACTTGCTTATACGAACTACGTCACCAACCTGAAATTTTTGTTTTCCAGCTACTTTAATATGACTATAAACGCTATTGAGTAGTGATTTTTCATTCTTTTTAGTAACTTTGCTTGGCTTCATATTAATTGTGCTATGTGTGCTGTCATTATATGCATCAGTAATTGGTCTCAATAAATCCACCCATTTATGGTTCCCATTTAACGTAAATTGTCTGAATATTTTTTCTTTTATTGTTCGAATTACCCGTTCTGCTATTGACGCCTTCAAAGGACTGAACGTGCTATAATGGTGTATACCATATTTTTTCATTAGACTCGAAAATTGTGTGTTATAATATTCTTTTCCATTGTCGGAAACAAGTTTTTTGGGAATTCTACCTGAATCTTTCAATATACTCCCGAAAGCTTTAGCAACATCTTGTGCAGATTTCGATTTTACAGCCCTAGTCCAGAAATATTTAGAAAAACAGTCAATAACTACGACTATGTACTTGAAACCTCTATTTTCCCTGGAATATTGATCAAGTTGAGCTAAATCCGTAGCGAAAGTATCATCTAAACCATACTGTATGAATCTTCTCCGAATAAATTTTTTATGTGCAGGTCTGTGTAATTCTCTAACTACTTGTTCTCTAGCTGGGGTAACCATAGAGGCTTTATCAATTTTTTTTACTTTCATTGTTAACTATATGGGTAACTAGGATAAAATGATGCAAATTATATGAATTTTGTATATTTATTTAACTTTTTGAACACCGTTATTTTTTTGAAAAAATTCTTTTACTTTTTCATCAATTATTTGAATCATCTGTCCTTTAGGAACTAGATCGCCATCATTTATAGCCTTGGCAGCTTTAATTATTCTCTTGTCAGCAATACTTATATATGTAGGCGTTATATTAAACTGTTTATGCTGCTGCTCTAAATCATTTATTCTGCCAATACATTCCCTATTCTTTGTAGCTAAATCTTGTATTCTTTGATATATTGTAAAATCATTCCCCAATGATACACTCTTAGATCTCAAGTTACCAATTTCGATTAGGCTGCCTTCCACTTTCTTATTTAATTTATTTATATTGTCATCAAGAGCCTTGACATTTACATTTTCGATTAGGTTATCATCCACTTTCTTATTTAATTTATTTATATTGTCATCAAGAGCTTTGACATGTACATTCAATTGATTATCTATATATTCTTTGGTGGCAGCATCATTTTTGTTCATCGGTTCTTTGAGATAATTTATCATAAAATTGAAATAAATATATTCCCCTATTAAATTTGAGGTTATACAACCTATGGTTTTCCATATCAAAGTCGCCATTGTTCGTGCGGGGTAGTGGTGAATCCCACTCATTATGAATAATAGGTTTTCGTTTTCTACCATCACTGGCGGACAGAGCCCGACCGAACTTGTCCATGGTTTACATAAAAATGGGGGAAACATAAAGAGTATAGATTTTTTTTATTTAAAATATAATCACTCCCAACTCGCGAAGCTCTTCCAAAATACTCATTATTTCATTTGTGTGATTCACATTACCAGCTACTTGGGATGCATCTAGTTTTATCAATCAATCCACTAGTTCGTTGACGTCATCATAGTAGATATATTGCTTAGGATTTTCATTATACTCCATTAAAGCGCTTCCAGATTTACCTTTTGATCGTGTACTCGGAGAGAATCCGGAGATATTTCTGCTGGAATTGAGCTTAGCTGCTTCAGCCTTTGCTGAAGCCAAAGGTTTTGTAACGTTTTTGTATTTTAAAGAGGAGGATGCTTTGATTTGTGCAGCCGGATTAAAATCCCTTCTATGAGCATTAGTTTTATTTAAAATATCTTGGAGCTGCAACTCATCGGTTTTGGTTTGACCGCGAGGATTTTTTAAAAAAAGTAAGTCATATAATCCAGGCGTCCCCTCATAAACCGTATCACCCACTTTGATATCACCATTTGAGAGAAAATCGACTTTTTTTGATCCTATAGTCCATAGATCATTGTTCTTATTGTGTTTAATATAATAATGATCTATTTTGTTTGAATTATTGTAGTGCATATCTACATAATCCTGCTCCAAATAATTCCTATAACTTTGTGAACGATCTACAATAGATTTTTCAAGTTCAAGATCTCTTTCCGTTTCTTGTGCTGATTTAAATACATTATCATATTCATCACTATCCTCATTAACCTCAAAAACTTCTTCTTTTGGCCTTGAAGTGGATGCATATTTCGAGATTTTTCTAATTTTTTTAGGTTTGAAATCAATACCTTCTTGATCCTCTTCCTCCTCCTTCTCCTCATCCTCCTCCTCCTCATTTTTAACCCTTCATTCTTAATAGCATATTTTTCTGTTTCAATATTCACGTTTGTATTGTTTGTTTTTTCAGCTAACTTGATTAGCGGCTCTTTGATGGGATTGAAAAATTTAGTTATTGCGTCATCTTCTTCGTTCCTTTCCAATTTTAATGATGCGTATTTTCTTTTAATGCTATCAGCAGCAGCAATAATTTTACGTTTTATTCGCTTATCGAATTTACTTAGAGTTTCAGGAGGCATATTTAGACAAAATATATACGTATCCAATCAAATTATCAGGACTGAACAGAAGGCTAACCTATTTTGTACTGTTTGAAACTGCGGTCAGTTACGGGGTTATATAGACATCAAATTTACTCCTATATCTTCCCTTATTTATATCATCGTCTTTTACAATTACTAAAAAACCATATTTAGTTTTCCAACATTCAGAACAAATTGTTTTAAATGTTTCTAGAGGCATATCCGTATTTACATGATCACTATAAACATGCTTCAGGTTCATATTGTCACAACTACCCGCTTTACGGGGGTGACATGGGGGGTTTGTAGCTTTGGGGGTAGATGGAGAGAAACTCGCTCAGGTTATATAAAAATATATGCTATATATTTTCCCAAATATAACCTTACATGTATGCTAATCCTATAAGGTACATGACCCTTCGTACACTGGGGTCCTTATAGGGGGCCACACGTCAATTCTGCTTGGGGGACTGTAGATAAGTTTATCGTCACCCTTATGCCTTGTCCAGAGGGGCGTTCCCAACGAGAGGTAATTGCACTGGACAACGATAAGGCTGAAGATACCCAGAGGGGCGTTCCCAACGAGAGGTACTTGCACTGGGGAGACTTAATTCCAGAGGGGCTTTTCCAACGAGAGGTACTTGCACTGGTTTAAGTCTGCCTTTGCTGCGGCTTGCTGAATTGCAATAAATATTCGATCGAATCGGCAATTAAATTAGTAAGGTTGAATACCGGGTCCTCCTTTCCCAAGCAGCTAGTTGACATATGCCCCCCCTCCATGAAACATTGGACCCCAATGCTTGGAAGAGACATTTACAACAAATTATATACAAATACCATAATAGTGTCAAAAAATACAATAATATCCTTATCCTAAAAATATCCCTTCTTTACAATAATAGCCTAATTATAAAATATCCCTGATGCTTAACAATTATATAATCCAAATATCGCGTATAGAGAAAAAAAAATTAAAAATTAACAAAAGTTTTTTATGGTGGGATGGGTGAGGGTGCATTATTATTCAGGTTACTACAAAAAAAATATCTTACAACTAAGAAATTTCATCAACTTCACCGTTTCAGCCATGGGTTTTTCCTCGGGTTTTTTCTCTTTTGGTCCGGTCCTGTTTTCTGTGTTGTGGGTCTGTTCTGGTTCCAAATACTTCTTGGTGGGTCATCTAGATCGTGGGGTGTTAACGGTCCCACGGTCTAAGTGTCGCTTCCTGGTTTGTTATGCTTTTTTCTTGTACATTGTGCTGTATTCTGTCTTTCAAGTGGATTATTGGTTCTGGCTTCAAGTACTTCCTGGTGATTTGGTCATCTGGGTCGTGGGTTTGCGCGGTCCCACGGCCCAAGTAATCCTTGATCATCTCTTTTGTGAGTGTGGTGGAAATGGTACTGTGGTCTGTCTACTTTTGGTCCATATCCATTTGTTTCTTCTGGTTTGAAGTTCCTAGCCCCTGCTCAGTCCAGAGCTAGGTCCTTCTATTACAATGTCTTCCCTCGAATTTGTTTTGTAGTCCGTCCCTGGTTGGTGGTTTTGTATATACATGCAAAAAATAAAATAATATTTAAAAAAAAAAATTAGCTTATTCCTATAATTACATAGTTTAATAATTATGACCCACATTTGGCCCATCAGTTTAATTCGCCCAATTGTTAAAGATGACCCCTCCAGGTAAGTTCAGAAGAAGTATAGTTTGTTTTAGTGTATTCATGTGTTTTTCCTTGTAGCCCGCTCCAGACTTAGGGCTGTCAGGAGAATTGTGCGGCAGGAGTGCCCCAATATTGGCTTAGTAAGTAGTTCTATTGTTTTTTCTCTATTTAAATATCTATATATATTCGTCTTCTTCCAGAATTATGTAGTAATGTACGTGAGGGTGGTTGGAGAGTGGCAACCCCCCGTGCCAGGGATCCAACGTACCCTTTTTTATGGGTCCCTTTGTGGAGCCATTTGTTTGATTTGCGCCGTGGTGCGAGCTAGGCGACCGCTGGTCATAATTTATTTTTAGTAATACATAGAGTTGTAAGAAAAAGTGTTTTTTTTTTTCTCTCTTTTTGTTCCCTCGCTTCCAGAGAATATTTATTATTCTAATCAAAGTTCCACTAAGTCCACCTCTGGTGTTTTGTTTCTAATCATTACGTATTTCTGTAGCGTCATTCAAAGGTGCGCTCGCGTCGCACTTATTTTTATGAAAAGTGCATGTCAGCGTTCCGTCAGGTCTACGGCCTGTAATTCGCAATATGTATTCGTGGTTTTCCACGCCCGTATCGTTTCTTTCTGGTTTATGTGGCAAACTTTCTTTTTTAGCTTTATTTTGTAGGTACATAAACCCTTTTCCCAATAGGTACATGAGGAATAGTACAAACAAACCGCATGTAGTGTAGAATATTACATCGTGTTCTGGTGGGTGTTGGCTGCCCGAGTCTTGGCCTGTACAAGGGTTGAAGAGTGCAAGGATTAATGGTTGTGGTCTTCTCCATAAAACATATATCAATATTACTGTTAAAACTGTGTTCCATATCGTCATTATACTGTGACTTTCTGTCGTCCAATGGTAAGTTCTGGCAGATGCTTGTCCATATTTTAGTTTTCTTTCAATGTTTTCTAATAGTGCTTTATTTGATGTTAGGTTTCGATGTGGGATCGTCAGCGACCAGTTATGGTTTATACATTCGTGTATATTGTTGAACTTTACTGGCGTAGATGTAGTCAAAGGGTTGAGCACGAATGATTTTAGGTTTGTCCAAGCTGCAGGGATCACGTGAGTAATGTATAGCTGTGTATCGACTTCCTTGCAGGGAAATCTCTTTGGTATTATTATTTTATCATTTATTTTTAGGTGACACTGGCATGGCATGAGGACTTTGATTGCCCCTGGTTGAGCTGTACCGTTTTTCTCTAGGACTGTGGACTTCTTTGGGCAATCTACTTTTATATCTCCCTGGGGGTGGGTTATAATAAATTGGTCGTCTCCTATTTCCGTGATAACCAGAAGGGTTGATTTGTGACACCTCATAGGGCAATGGGTGGTCAGGTCTTCCACTGTAGTGCCTTGAAATAATTTTGTGGCACATGACGGGCCCTGGAGTGTGTCGCCTGAAAACCTTGGCAGGTAGCATAGCTTATTTTCATACGGGTTACATAGATGAAGACCCGTTCCTGTTATATGTCTTGTGGTTTTGCTCTCATGGTAGTCATTACCTCCAGCAACCGCCATATAGAGTGTGTTGTGTTCGATGACACATGTCTGACCCTGCCATGAAAAAGGGTACGTCTGTAATTCAAATAGTTGCCATTGACGGTTCTTCTCGTTTGTAGGAACTTTTATATGAATTACCCGGCACCTCCTCCAAATATGTCACAACTACCCGCTTTACGGGGGTGACATGGGGGGTTTGTAGCTTTGGGGGTAGATGGAGAGAAACTCGCTCAGGTTATATAAAAATATATGCTATATATTTTCCCAAATATAACCTTACATGTATGCTAATCCTATAAGGTACATGACCCTTCGTACACTGGGGTCCTTATAGGGGGCCACACGTCAATTCTGCTTGGGGGACTGTAGATAAGTTTATCGTCACCCTTATGCCTTGTCCAGAGGGGCGTTCCCAACGAGAGGTAATTGCACTGGACAACGATAAGGCTGAAGATACCCAGAGGGGCGTTCCCAACGAGAGGTACTTGCACTGGGGAGACTTAATTCCAGAGGGGCTTTTCCAACGAGAGGTACTTGCACTGGTTTAAGTCTGCCTTTGCTGCGGCTTGCAGCGCAATTTATATTAATTTATTGCTGAATTGCAATAAATATTCGATCGAATCGGCAATTAAATTAATAAGGTTGAATACCGGGTCCTCCTTTCCCAAGCAGCTAGTTAACAATATCATCCTGCTTAAACACTATAATCATGTTTGTATTATCACGAATCAATTGCTTCGGTATTTTCGAATAGGTTTGACAGAGATAGAAGGAGTCCACATCATTATGTCTACCCATACAATAGTAATTTCTTATCTTTTCCTGCTTTTCACAAGCTACATCATCAAATATAAATATGGAATTAGGTTGAGCATTTTTAGGATCGATAACTTCATCATTATCACTGTATTTATGAAATTTAACTCCCGTTACTCGACTTAAGTATCACTTTTTCTAAAAACATATACTTTTCCTGATAGAGTGATTTGGAGTACACATACACATTTTTAAATTTCAATCCATTTGCATCGATGAGCAAACTTAACATAAGGTTACTTTTTCCATAATTACTCGAACCACATATTATCGCTCTAACAGTATTTGGTAGGAGTGCGCTGTGCCGCCGTTTCCGATTTTCTGGTTTATTTAAATCGAAATTAGAAACATTTATGCTGAGTGATTGCTTTTCTGCCCGCATGCTATTTAAGATATGGCTACTCAAACTGCACTTCATTAGTAATGAGTAGTTCCAAGGGTGAAGGTCTCTTAAATAGCGTCATTAACAAACTTCCAATTGAACTTCATTTACCTGGCTACTCTTATTGTGGTCCTGGTACAAAACTGAAACAGCGATTGGCGCGTGGTGATCCGCCAAAAAACAAATTAGATAGCTATTGCAAAGATCACGATATCGAATATTCGAATTTCATTGATTCACAAAAAAGACATCAAGCCGATAAAGTTTTGGAAAATAGAGCTGGGGAGCGAGTTAAGTCGAAAGATTCAAGTTTTGGTGAGAAAACTGCAGCCTGGTTTGTAACTAATGCAATGAAAGCTAAACGTAAGCTTGGAATAAAAAATGTTGCGAGCAATAAAAAACGGAGGAGGAAAATTCGTAAACGCAAACGCTCCAGTAGATCAAAACCGTTTAATGCATCTATTATAAATGATGTTAAAAAACATTTAAGACCCTTCAGCGGAAATTCCCTTAAAGATAATGTGAAGCTAGCAGTGGAGGTTGCACGACAAGCCATAAAAAATGCTGGTGGTAGAAAGAAAATTAAACTTCCTA